TTTTCTTAAAAATTTTTATTTGACGAAGTGTAATCACTTATCAGACAGTATAGTAACTAGTGTATGGTGTTGGTTACCATGGAAACTGCATCTCGAGCAACTAAGGCCAAGATGTCAGCACAAGAAACAACTCCAGGACACTCTTTTTCTACTGCAGTTTTGACACCATCAATCACTTGAAACCCTCTTAAACTTAAGTCGGGGGCTGAATCTTTCTCGGCTACGTTGTTCTTGGTGGAGTTTATGAGAACAGAACCATCACATCCCTGCAACCAAAATGTGTGAAAGATTCATCATATAAAACTATAAACTATAATCAGGGTTGGGAAGAACATATTATATATATATTTGTTATTGTTATCGCAAAGTGACTGATCTCATGTTTGAACCCAATACCTCAAAAAAAAAAGAATAAGAAAAATGCAAAAACAAACAGAAAACATATGATTACGTTAACAAAACAGTCATGAAAATGCATTCTTAGCAATGCAGGGGCAAGGCTTGGTGCTCGAGAGATGTATTGAGCTGTTGTGTTCTTGATAATGGCCTCGGCGGAGGGGCAGGTCTGTTGGTAGAAACCAACTTTCAAGCCTTGAGCATTTGCAAGATCCAAGACAAAAAAGACAAGAGTGAGGTGAAAAAAGATGAGAGAGAGAAGCTCTGGACTTGTCATTGTCTTCAACCACGAGCCAGTAATATATTTGATTCTGTGCTCTGAAATGCTAGAAAACACATCAAACACTAGTATTTATAGTTAAGCTGAGGGTTCAAGATCAATACCATGCTGCCATTGACACGGTTCAGGAAGTCATTGTTAATGTCAATTTGGTATTGCCTGAAATAAAATTGTTGACTTCTAACAAACTTTTAAAGAACTCTTAATTTTGAAGCTGGCAAGGCTTCATATTTAATTTTCACAACCTATCTCAATCAGATAGAAGAAAAAGAGAAGAAAAAAATCAGTAAGAGATAGAAGCTCTACCAATTATGTGTAAGAGATAAATGTAAACTGGTGAAAAAAAACTAATTAACCATAAATAGTAATTCAAACGATAACAGAGACGAACTATAAATTTAAATATTTTAAGTTTGAATTTGTACAATTCTTTAGAACCAGGTCATAAAGAATTGTCCTAATTCTGGTGTGGTAATTACATTGGCTAAACCCGAATTTTGTCTGACTAGGGAGACTCGAATTGAAGACTAGAGAGATTACAATTTACTCATTGTTCAATCATTGAACCAACCTCTATCTATAGGTTAAAACATCCCTAATTCTACTCTCTTAACAACTAATAGGTCTTAAAATATAGTTGCTGGGTACAATACAGAGGTGTCATGTCAGTAATTGTAAGTTCGTGAGTTCTAACGTACAAAAATTATGTTGCGCAAATAATATCAAATTTTAGGTCTATCCTGAATTCATCCCTCTTAAAACCCAAGACTATATGGGTGTTAAACTGGGCGATAACATTCTCTTGCTACCTTATATTAATAAGTAAATTTTATTAGATAAAGGATTAATGACTTGATTACCTAAGTTAATATCCATGAAGTTAATGCTCCGTTTGGTAGGATGAACGGAAAATAAAAATAATTAATTTATTTTTTTTGTGCTGGTTAAGATTAGGGGTGACAATCGAGTCGTCTTATGTCAAATTCGTATTGAGTCATGGTGGATTTGTATCAAACATTAATCAAACCTAACTCAACTCATTTAACTAATTATGCCGTATCAAGNTTTGATTACCTAAGTTAATATCCATGAAGTTAATGCTCCGTTTGGTAGGATGAATGAAAAATAAAAATGATTAATTTATTTTTTTTGTGCTGGTTAAGATTAGGGGTGACAATCGAGTCGTCTTATGTCAAATTCGTATTGAGTCATGGTGGATTTGTATCAAACATTAATCAAACCTAACTCAACTCATTTAACTAATTATGCCGTATCAAGTTGACTTATTTATTTTCGTATTGTTTTCGTGTTCGTATTCGTATTCGTGTTGACCTACATAAATTTTGAATAAAAAATTTATTGCTAATATTCTATTTTCACTTAATTGAATTCATGTTTATATTTTTTTTACAAATTAAAAATTAACTTAAATAAATATAATAATAATAATAAGTAAAAATATCTTTTTTATATAANCCGTATCAAGTTGACTTATTTATTTTCGTATTGTTTTCGTGTTCGTGTTGACCTACATAAATTTTGAATAAAAAATTTATTGCTAATATTCTATTTTCACTTAATTGAATTTATGTTTATATTTTTTTTACAAATTAAAAATTAACTTAAATAAATATAATAATAATAATAAGTAAAAATATCTTTTTTATATAATAATTATATCAGTGCTTAATAAATAATTATAAATAATTAAAATTTTATATCTATAATACTAATTAAACATGTTGACAGGTTTATATTTCTTGTTCGTGCATCAGGTCTTTTTTTAGTTCGAGTCGAGTTATAATTAAGTTCGTGTCATAAAATTTGTGTCAAGTTCGAGTCATGTCATCGTGTTGAGTCAAAAAATTTCACCCCTAACTAAGATGGAAAAATTATTTTTTTATTTTAATTTTAATTTTTAATTTTTTAATTTTTATTTTAAAATTTATATTAAAATATATTTATACACACANTGTGCGTCAGGTCTTTTTTTAGTTTGAGTCGAGTTATAATTAAGTTCGTGTCATAAAATTTGTGTCAAGTTCGAGTCATGTCATCGTGTTGAGTCAAAAAATTTCACCCCTAACTAAGATGGAAAAATTATTTTTTATTTTAATTTTAATTTTTAATTTTTTAATTTTTATTTTAAAATTTATATTAAAATATATTTATACACACATATTTTATCATTGTATTTTTAAATGAAATTAATGTATATATAATAAATGTATATATAAAAAGATATATATACAAATAAGATACATCCCAACACAAATAATTAATTTTTCATCCATTTTCCTTTCAATTTTGAAGGGATTGATTTTGATGAATTAGAAAGAAAGTTAATTCATCAATTTTCTATTCTTTCTATTTTTTTTTATTTATCAAACATGATATTTTATTTATCACTCTAATTTATCTTCTTTTCAACTTTTTATTGTGTCAAACGAAACATAAGGGTTTGAATTTGGCATGCAGTCTAATGCTAGAGGGTAATAACTAATAATAAATGGGAAGGACACCTTTGCACGGCATATGGTTGACTTTATAAGTAGCGTGGCTAAACGTGTGTTAGGTTATAGGAACCTTAGTTGTATAATGCTACAGATCGAGTTGATTTAGAAAGGCCAACTGGAGTCAATCTTTGATCTCTCGTTATCTTCAACAGCTCCCAACTTCCAACACCGAGAGAGAAAGAGAGAGTGCTATACAATTCGAACAGAGAATGAGTTTTAATGCACTGAAAAATGGTGATAACGTAGAGGTCATGTAAATTTAATAGATTAAAGGCATATTTGGTACGTAAGTTTAGATAAGTTTTGTAAAAATAGTTCAATACATTTTTTAAATTCATGTTTGATTCAAAATTTGAGGCTTAGGATACATAAGATAAATGAATCCCGGGCCGCTCCTAGCCCATAGTGAATAGTTGATTAAAACTCACAAATGGGGTTTTAATGAAATCTATGGAATGGGTTTAAAAAATGAAAGATTGGATTTGAAGACAAAAATACTAATTTACCCAAAAATTAATTCTTATATTCACTTAATAATGGACATTTTAATAAATTGGATAATATGATCTGACATAATAAATCCATAGACCCACCTCACATATATTTGTATCACTTAAACATACAAGAGATTGAATAAGATTTTTTTAAATCTCATGTACAAATCGTTGGGGCTGGGTTTACGAAAGTTTTATAAATTCAATCTAAACCCCCCAAAAAATAAACGTCCAAATAGGTCCTTAGAGAGATGATTTGGAGATAAAATATTCATTGCAATAGTGACACTATGTTATCACCGCTACATGATGTCACCATCTAATTAAAAGACAACAAATAAATAAATTGAATCTCACCAGTCCTATATGTTGTTGATTAGATGTAGTTGTTATTGATTGTTATGAAAATAGTAGGGTTTACTTTACTTATTTGTAGTCTTCGAACTGAATGATGACATCATGTAACGGTGATGACATGATACCACCGTTACATTAAATATTTACTCATTTGGACGGCTAAACAGACATGGTGAGAGATAGGGACATAATGCTAAGAGTAATAGCATTACTCTAATGCAACTAAGATGGTCATTGTATATGTAATATCCCGACCTGCATGTCTGGGCAACTTGGTATTTTTATCTCTCCTCGTCCATTTTGACCCTATATAGAACATGTTTTATCCCGACATTAAGGCTAAGACCGAATTAAATTAGTCTGATAGTTACTTAGTATTATGTATGGATCATGTTATAATATCCCCTCCAGTTAATGCTGGCCGAAGTCATGAAGACAACTATACCTGACAGATGATACAAAGAAATTCCATGTGACAAACGGCATAAAATCAACCTTGATTAGTGTTTGGATAAAACATTACATAGTACACCTAACTTGGTTTTGGAAGGGCGGTTTCACCTTTTTTAACTTAATATATATATATATATATATTAATGTCCGATTCAAACATAGGAGTTGATACTAAGAGAAATAACCAAACTTATCTCATCCTTGAGCAAGTAGATCGATCGACTATTATTAATCCAATGATTGTGATGAATTGATCAATAAATTAGGTCTAAATATATTATCAATTTTAAAAATGAATTGCAAAAATAATTAGCTACTTGTGTGGAGATTACGTATTCCAACTAGGGTAGTGATGTATAGCAGCTGACGTAGAACAAATTGCCTCACATTTTATGCAGCAGTTGGGTAGTCAGAAATCATAAAAATGTAATAATAGGCTTGACCTTCAAGACTCATGGTTTTGCTACAAATTTTGCAGATTTATATCTTTTTTAGCGTTCAAATTCGAAATATTAGGCTATATTCTTATACCAAAGTTATAACTTTGCGATAGAGGTCGATCAGATTCGATAACTAACGATTCTTCTTGAGTCTAGGCCTTGTGATTGCTGTCTTTCACATTTAGTTTTGATCTTTTCACTTGTCATAATCTTCCTTTACTTCTCTTAGTTATGTGTTTTGCATGGATTACTCTATCATCTATTCAAATATCACACACACTCATAAATATGTATGCATGGCTCCACACAAAACAGCTAGTTGATTTAGATATTACATTTGAATTAAGAGATAAAAATTATGTTCTGCTTTCCTGTTGAACCCATCTTTTCCGGGTAACCAATAGGCATCTCACATATCAACAAAACCATTAAGAAAATAAACTACTGATAGAATTCAAAGATAACTAAACCACACCCGGAAAAGATGGATTCAGCAGAGAAGCCGGACACAATTTTATCTCTTGAATTAATCTAATTAGTTGGGTTTACTAAAAAAAAGCATTCTATATATATCTCAATGCCTGCCAGATACAGAGAAGGAAGCACCGTCCATAAAAACAACTGGTTCGAACGTGCCAAAAGAGATCTGCATAAACATGTGGTAAATAGCCCAATGGAATCTCCAATCTATATATGATTAATCCATTAATTAAATATCCACTAATTAATTAATTAAA